CATCGCATCAATCTTTTCCGTCACAGTTTGTGACATCTGGTTGAAGAGGTCTTGCATCCTGTCCAGCATGCACTTGCTTGTGGATTCGACCGCACCTTCGACCGACAGAACTTTCTTCCCCAGCTCTTCTTGGTTGGAAGCAACAACATTGAACTGCTCATGTGTTTTCCTCTCCAGGTCACCCAGCTTGGATGACACACAGGCAACCGCAGTTTGGGTTTCCACAAGTGCGTTGCCCGTCTCTTTCAACTTCTGTGTGACGATCATCTCAACATGCGCCTGCAACTCACCCTTGATTTCCTGCAAGCGTGATCCAGCAGCAACACTAGCCGACGTTGTAACAGACTCAACGTCAGGCTCTTTGGACGCACTCACACTACCAACCTGGAGTGGCGGGTTACTGATCTTGGGTTCAGCACCAGGCTTCACATCAACGGGGCTCACAGTCGCTATGCGGCCATTCAGGTTCAGGTGCGGGCCGGGGGGTGGCGTATCAGCGGCAATGATCCACTTGCTTGGCCCCGATGTTCGGACAGCTTTTGCATCCCATCCAAGTTTGGACAGGGTCTGGGTCAACTCTTGCTTATTGGTCTGGGTGTCCAAGTGATTGAGTTGCCACAAGTCACCATGTGGCGGGGCAGCCTCGCCATCTAGGATGATGGACTCCGGGGAGATTTTCCTTCGGAGGGACACCAGGTCAGCCCGCTTGCATCTGAGGCCATACTGCCCATTGTATTCAACAATACCCATGGCTCCTGTACAGGTGGCTGCCGTTGCCAAAGCCTGTTCCAGGCAAGCCCCGTGCAGACCGATGACTGCGAATTGCTGGTCAGGTCGGTGCTGGGAATCTTTGGCAATGAGAAAGATACCCGCCCTACCGGAACGTGGGAGCACTTTCTCAAGCAGTTCCTGCTTGACTCTGGCCGCAAAAGGTTTCTTCTGTCTGGCATCAGCAAAGGCATTGACGGCCCATTTGGCCAGGACTTCACCATCCCTGAGCTCTGGCAGGTGCACTCCCAAGTAATGCATCGGATCCTGGACATCCGTCCAGTTTGGCACCTGCTTCCTTCGGATGAAAAACTCAAGCACCGCTGATGCAACTTCATTGACGGTACCCTCAGGCATCTTCATCTGGCACACTACTGGTACGTCTCCAAAATTGTGCAATTGCATGGCCACAAGAATGGGTCTGCCCAGTGCATCATGTGCTGGCCCCAGGAATTGATCGGGCACATTCAGGGCCAGTCCTCCATCAACAGCAAGTATGGCAAGTGGGTCGGCACTGATGCGTCTGGCCGGCAAGTGGTGGACTGCCTGATCCCTAGTGGTGATCATCAACCCTGCACGGTCGGGCCCAAAGCCGCTGGGGTCGAGGGACACAACAGATTTTCCACCTGCAGTGAAATGCTTCAGGTCAATTTTGATCTTTGAGAGATCAACTTTCTGGTCAACATCGGCGGCCTCCGGGATCACTTTACTGCTGGAGGGCTTTTTGGGGTTAACAGACAAGCTGCTCGAGGCACGTTGGGTCTTCTGCCACTGCTTCAGCTCATGGTTGGTGATGAGCCGAATGTGCTTGTCACTCGCGGCTTTCTTCAGCTCAGCCCACGGATTGTGTCCCTTCAACATGGCACGCAAATCCTCGTTGGCAATGTGCGCCATGATGTGCGTCACCCTTTCATCCAGATTCGACTCGGGGACTCCCCTGGTTACCAACTCCTGCTTGAGCTGTTTCTTAATGTCATCGGCACCCTTGGCGCCCCCTGGCAAAGGGCATGCTCGCACGGCAATGACATCTGGGATCTGCTCAACTCGGGTGCGAGGGTCGGTGTGCTTGCCCCCAGCGATTGTCAGCAGGGTTTGGGTTGACGTGCAAGGTGCCAAAAATGATGCTGCAAGCTGCATCAGGGACCACTCAGCCGGCACCTGGATTTCACTGGCTCGAACGGCAAAAGGGGACTTGACCCATCGCATGATGTATCGATTGGCGGCGCAGCTCACAGGCTTGATGCCTTTGGGCGTGTTACACAACTCCAGGAATGCCACATCTATAGGGGGGTACAGCTTAGGTGAGCTAAGGATGATCTGCACCCCTCCTACCTTCATTGCCTGCCTGAGGGTCATGGCTCCCGCGGGTTCGCAGCCCTTGATGGCAACAGTGATCTGGCACCGTGCAACCATATCCGGCAGCAGTGGTGCAATCAGGTCGGCAAGAAGGGCATCCTGTCTCCTGCAAATCGTTCTCACAGTTGCCCAAACCGGGTGTCGGATTGCCAAGCGCACATGGGATTCAGTGGCCTTTATGCCTACATCAGAATGAAACGGCGGCACTTGCAGCGATGCGGCAATGTCACAGGCGACCAGTGGCTTGGGGAATGCACCGACAATCGGGTGTGGAATGAGCATGAAGTCAGTGTCAGGCAGGGACAGGACAAACGCAGCTGGGCTTGGGCAACCATCCTTGGCATCAATCCAGAAACACTGGGGCAAAACCTTCAGGTGTGCACACACGAATGCTTTGAGGTCCTGGAAGGTCCATGTAGCGTCAACATCAACTTGAATGGGCAACTTCTGGAATTCAGTTGAGATGGTCCGGCGAAACTTTCGCATCCCCAAGACTACACTAAAGCTGGTCATTGTTGCCGGGACACTGGATAGCACAGCCTGCTGTCCATTGATGACAAATGATTGCAGGTGCTCGGCTTGCAGGTGAGGCAGGGCACTCTTGGCAATGCATGACGCGGTGAGGCCATGCTCAGTCCATCCAGCAAAACCCCAGGACCCTTCGTCAGTGGTAACCCTCAAAGGGACAGCACGGACAGTTTCCTCAGGATAAACATCCCAGATTTCCTCAATCCTTGGATTAGCAACATTGACGGGCAAGAACCCCTGCGGCATACTGATGGGTCTGTGGGTGAGCGCGGTGCGTTCATGGTTGCGCGGGTTGTCCCGTGACTCTTGGGCAGGTGCATATCCTGGTTTGAAGACCCAGGTTGTCTCCTGTAGCAAACGGCATCGGTCAGGATCACTTGGGCCCTTGGATGGCCCGCATACCATTTGGTCCACGCCACAAGCCCACTCAGGAACAAAGGAAAGCCCAACATGCATCTGGCTGCACCGTCCTTCACAGACTTCTGACCCGGGTGTTGTCGGCTCCCCACTGGTCTCAGACACGTCTCCAGCAACCATGCATGGCAGCAGGATGTCTGCTTTCTTCTCGGTATGTTGATCATTGTGGGCAGTGCTTGACGCCGGTTGGGCATCATGGCTCACACGATCAACAGGCACGGCAGGGTGTCCTTGCCTTTTCTTTGTTGAGTGCGTCGGGGCCACACTCGGCCTGGGGCGCTTGCCCCCTGGATTGTGCTTGGCAGTATCCTCACATGACGACGGTATGGCCTGTAGGACGTACATGTCCTCCTCCTGTACAACCCGGAATCCTGATGCACCGAAATCATGTTCCCAGTGAACCTCCATGCACTAGTCATGTCCTTGCTTGGGGATGGCCAGCTTGGGTTCACAACCCATGGCAGCAGCAAATTCCCATGGTGAGAAAAACCTCACTCCCTTGCCATCATCCAGCAACGTGGTGTGCAGGCCTTTCTCCCTCAGGTGGATCTCAGGTAACGTGTGCTGCTTGCCGTATGATGCCA